AGCAAATGACTTGAACTTTGGACATTTATCCAAATAGGAACCCCCTAGGATGCTTTGGTATCTCCTCACTCAAGGTACTACTTTGGAATAGAATTTTTCTGATAATCTCAGTTTGCCTTCAGTTCTAGAGAACACTAAAGGTTATTTTCTTCTAGTATTCTTTCATAGGTGACTTCTGTGTAGAACATACAGAAAATGTTTGTGAATCTCAAGTATTCTTACAAATGTGAATTGTAAAGAGGCACGGCAAGAAAACAAATAAATGAGTGTAGGAAATGCAATTAATCCCAGTATCTCCTATTGGCCTGAAGATGATGCTTCTCAGATTTCTTTACTTACTCAAACATGGCCAGGTCAACAAGTATTCTAAAGCTTCCACTTAGTCACGTCCCCTACCTCACATAATAGATTCACAAGCCAATGCTTTCAGAGAAGCTCATTATGCTTGATTTAGCACAATGATGTAGGAACTAGTTCCTGTCAAAATATCCCATGAAAGAGCTGTGCAATGTAACACCTCCCCTACACACTAAGAAGTGTGGGAGACAAAGGTACTATTTAGGACAATTATAAAAGATAATTTAACAACGGGTTATACTAGGTAATTTAACAAAATAAACTACATTTAACAAATAAACTACTACTCTGTCTTCCTTCTCCATATTTTTAATTTCCTTCGATGCTGATTATTAATGGTTGTCTGATTATCAGTGGCTGCACTTAAAAGTGTGGTAGATCAAAAAGCTAGTAGAGTCCAAAGCCTGTAAATGTTTATGTGGATATCAGGTTTAACTACTCTTACATTATTTACTTCACTTACACAAAATGTTCTTAAGAGCGTTATTCAAACGGATCAATGAACAAAACAAATGGTTGTCTTTAGCCAGCTGCTGCAGTGGCATACATTAGCACATAGCAACTGAGTGCAATACCTTGAGAGAAGTGAATTACACCCTATTCAAATAATAGCACCTCACTGACCTATGGCAGTAACAGTCAGCCTAATGTCAAAGCATTCTGCAGCTTCTCTCACATGGCTTTGCCTGGGGCTATTCACAGGGCTACAAGTCAGGCTAAGGTGTTATCATCAGATCTCACCAGCACTGCCGGAGTTCTGGTCCTTTACCCTCTCAAACAAAATGGAAGTAGTCACTGAGACTCCCCAGAAGTGCACCATGGCAGCCATCCTTCCAAGAGCAGACGGAGTGTAAGCCTTCTAGACAGCAAAAACTGATAGCTTTGGCTATTATTCCATCTCATAACTTTTCACTTCATGGTATATCCTAACCATAAGAGCAACCAGAGTAGTGGAAGTGGGTTCAGTAAGTAAAAAAGTAATAATTACTCAGCCCTGTACAGCTGATTACACATGTAAGTGAGACAAAATAGATCACCAGCTATGCCCTACAGACTTGTGTCCTTTGGTTAGCATCTACTTTGCCTTGTGCATTCAGCAGGCTCTGAGAAGAGTTTTATGTTCCCAGTATAAATACTTGACATGGAGTATATTCAAGTTCACAAAAGTGCTGATACTAGAGACTCAGCTATACTGTATATGTAGCTTGGACAGTGCTGTCAGCCAAGCATGCAGTTGACCTATCTACTAATTATTAACTTCAAATAAAATTAATACTCAGCCAGCTATAAGTTGTCTAAGATTTTTTAAAAGTCATTTTCATGCTTGGTTGATAGTTCTAACTGGGGACTAAACACTTCTATCCAGATGCTAAGTAAAATATAGTGTAATTGTGTACTGCAAATGTGAAATTCTGTTTGTTCCAACAGACGGAACCAACTCTGAAAGTGACAGAAGTTCATATTACTTGGTTTCTTTCATCTTATCTCATCAGGTGTCAGCCAGGGGACCAGTACTGCTATGTATCCCTGCTTTCTTTCCAATAACTCAAAAAGAACTGAACAACTAGTACTAGTAACCCAGACAGTATTTGAAAGAGAGTCCTGTGCTGCACAGTCTCAGCTGCACACACTAACAACACAAACAGTCTTATCTATACAGAACCTTTCTATGCTGGATGGGTAAAATGCAGAACTTCAACATTAAGAACCTGCAGCAGTTACCTCCTACTAACAAATACCTTGCTCCTAACAAAGAAAAAGGAAGACAAACAAGAACAGGCATATTACAGACAGACTTAATCACTTAGAACTCCTCTTGTCAAGCAGCTTTATGAAAGAAATTATTTTGGCTCCCCAGGTGCCTTCAAATCAGATGAAAGGGGATTTCAGCTCAGAAAGGTGCTGACCAGTGACAATGTCCTCAATGAGTTTTTTTAATTTCTACATTCACCATCCTGTAGTTCACAGCCAGTGACTGAAAACAGAATGACAAAGTCAAATAGATAACTAAGGAATAGCTTTGATTTTGAAAGTCAGTGGTACAATGACAAGTGTCTTGCTCCAAGGTCAGGACAAGTTTAACATCCAGAGTACAGAAAACACAGTATTTCAGTACCAGAAGAGGACAAAGACACATGCAGTTTTATCTTATGATTGCTTAGGATACTGCTGAAATGAGATAGAACATTTAATAAAATATGTGCTTTTATGGACAATTTGTTCTGAGCCTGGTTAAATAATAAGTGTGTGCTATTTTGAACAGAGACAAATATGTTTCTTCAATAATAGTGCTCTGTTGCTATTAAAATTTTTGAATGATAAATTACTGGCATGAACTTCAATGCAGAGAAGACTGTTTAACAGAGAACATACTGCAGAAAACAGTGGATTTAGTAAGTGCCAAAACAGGACATTCTATTTGGATGCCAAGTAGTCTGATGACTTCATTGCTAGCCAAAAGCTGCACAAACCCTTGGTTCTAGCTGCACTTGCAACTGTATGCAGGAACAGCAAGGTTAGATGCACTTGCAGTGCTGCACAGTGTCTCAGTGCACCAGGCAACACTACTGCTGAGCACAGCAGTCACTAATGAAGGCAATGCCACTGTGCAGCAAGGCATTCCAGGTACTAGACTTTTCACCTACATAAGCAATAGTTAGAGTCAATGACAACTGGATTTCTTTCACTCACATTGAAGCAACACCTAGAAAATATTTTAACATCAGAAGTAAACAGCCTTAGAAAAATCAACTATTATTTTAAAAAGAACATACTGAAAGAGAGACTCCTTTGGCACAATTCAGATACAGTCTCTTAATCCAAAGGAGCGGTAGCATATGAAAATATGGCCCATCCAGTTTTAATATTTTAATGCATGCATTCTTTAAAAATAAATAATTGAACTGTCAGCTCTAACTGCTTCATTACTGCTCACTCGTTTCCTGCCAGCATCACAAAAATAGTTCACAGAAGGGTTTTGCATAAGGAAAGAGCTCTGAAGGGAAAGGAGAGGGAGTTACATGTCAAAGGGAAAGCACAGTAGACAGCTTAGAGATGGCTGCAGATGAAATGGATCAGAGAGCCAGTCAGTGCCAAGATATGAGATCAGACATTAGAGAAGTAAACCCTACCTGTGGCAACATGGTATGGAAGGTGTTAGAGTGTAGGCAGCTGTTTAAGTAAATTAAAATTAAAGAGGAAAGAGGAAATTCGTCTTTCTACAGAAAGAGGAATTTCACATCCCGTGTCTCCTGATTGTGAAATGACCCCAAACAAGCCAATTCTCAACTGATAGATTATGCTAATGAACATCCTCCAACTCAGTATTATTGCATCTAGGTTTCTCATCTGCCTGATCAACAGAAGAAAGTCTTACAGGCTTATTTCTAATAGGAAATAGGCTGAAAACTACCTGCTTGGCATCTAATGAATCAGCTCTTATTTTCCTGCTATTCTTTTGCTACAGGCTGTGAGACTGACTATCCAAATATCAAAGCAGCTACTTCAAGAAGAAAGTAGTTAGAATGGTCTGAAGCCCCATCTCCTACTCATTTGCAGCTAGTAATGGCAGTCCTATGATCCCACTGAAAAGGATGCCAGTGCTGCATCTTCTAATTTTTGAGAAAGCAAACAGCTCGCACCAACGTTACCCTATGGGTGTCAGGGCAAAGAGCATGTCAGAGCTTGCCACTTCTGCTTCTCCACCTAATGACAGGATGAAGGCTCCTGCCAAACCCCAGGCTTATGTCCACTGTTGCTGCGTGCCCAGAGAAAAGCTCAGGAATGAAAACAGGTAATCGATAAACAAAACGGGAACCTCCCAGAGTAACTAACCTCTGTTTTGCCAATTGTATCCCGGGTTGCATCAAGAAAAGCATGACCAGCAGGTTAAGGGAAGTGATTCAGCCCCTCTACCCTGCTTCCTTGAAATCCCCTCTGTAGCACTGCATCCAATTCCGAGGCCTACCACCACAAGACACTGAGCTGTTGGAGTGGGTCCAGAGAAGAGTCATGAAGATAATCAGAGGGCTGAAGCACCTTCCCTACAAGGATAGGCTGAGAGAGCTGGGGCCTCCAGAACCTGCAGGGTGCCTACAGAAATGCTGGGAAGGGACTTTTTATAAGGGTATGTAGCAACAAGATGAGGAGAAATGGCTTTAAACCAGAGGAAGGCAGACTTAGACTAGATATTAGGAAGAAATTCTTCACCTTGAGGGTGGTGAGTCATTGGAGTAGGTTGCCAAGAGAGGCTGTGGATGCCCCCTCCCTTCAGGTGCTTAAGACCAGGAAGGACGGGGCTTTGTGCAACCTGGTCTAGTGTGTCCCAGCCTATAGCATGGGGGGTGGAACTAGGAGATCTTGATCCAACCCAAACCATCCTACAATTTTATGATTTTGCCTTCTAGCAAAGGGCATTTAACTCTCTCCTTTGCTCTACAACAAATTCAGATTTTTCAATAAAGAAAAATAAAGATTATTTTGCAGCCCTTCTGATCTCTATTATACAGTGAATTGTGATTTCTTCTGACATCAGGCACCATTGCAACAGTTTTGACTTGCACCCAACAACTTCAATGAATTAAATTCTGCATATTATACAAAAGTAATTGCAGACCTTCATACTCCACAACTGCAAGCTTTGGTCATATTACGTGAATGTTTATCAGGTTTATAAATATACAAATACAAATGAAACTGTCATAAAAATAGATGTCAAAATAAATGGCAGAAATAAAATCAATGATACAACTACAGCAAATCTTTGCTACTCTCCTCATAAGTGCCTACAGTAGTAACTTTACTAAATCTGAACTGTCACTGTATCAGGTCTTAGCTCAGTACTGGCACTCTAAGCATCATAAAGAGTGTAAAAAGTGGGATACTTATTCAATTGTGTCTGACTATGGGACCAATACAATTGCACCTAATAGGCATACTAGTAGCGCTGTTCTTGGTCCAGATAATTCAGCAATCAATAACTGACAAATCCATATTTTTGCAGAAACGTCATACAGAAGTTTATATAAAGTCTATTCTAGATGGCTTGAGAAACAAAAGCTGAAATCCAAATTTATCAAGTTGATAACAAATCCCTCATACCACAAGATAGCATATGGTTATTACATACAGCTATTGCACAGTCTCATATATATCTCCTTTCTGTCTATATGGAAAATAAGTAAACTTTAATAAAAAAACTACCATATGACTACAGTGAATCAAACTGGTTTTCTAGGACCAGGTTTTTGAAAATGATAACTGCAAAACAGAGTAATGCTTACTGTCATTCTGCTATTCTCAAATTGTCATCACATCCCTCCACGGGCAAGGATCTGCAGGGAGTTTCAAGGTGCAACAGTATATCCAGATACACCAAAATCCAGGAAACAGTCCTCTTCAGCATGACTTGCCCAGGAGATTTCTTGGGAAACATCTGTTGAAATAATCAGAAAAAAATTAACAGAAGGTGATGGAAAGCTTCAAATCACTGTTTAACATATAAGCACTTTCATTTTGGAATTTTGGACCTTCATTATTCTTTACCTTAACTTCTCTTTTAAACTGCATTTTAGCTTTCAACAGAGCTGTATGAAGAAACATTGTTGTGCCTTATACAGTCCTTTCCCCCTCTCTACAAATTTTCATTTCCCTACAATAACATGAGGAACTGGCTTTCTGTTAATTGCTCAGTGAAACAGAGTGCCTCAGGGCTTTATTAAGAAAGATTTCTGAGAGACTGAACCATGTGTGACCTAAATTGGCTTTCTAAGTGGTTTCTGGAGGGCACAGAGAAGTGTTCACAAGCATAATCGCCTTTCACCTTGACATTAATTATATACTTTACCATTCAAAATAAGTCATGGTCATGAGCTGAAGCATTTATAAAGTAAACATGTCAGAGAAGCAAGATACTGTAAAATGCACAAAAATAGTCCATTCAGCACTATTAAAAAATCCTTCTCTTTTTTTTCCCCTCTTTACCCTCAATTTCAATTGTGACCTGAATAGAAAACAGCCATTGGGCTCTCCAGGAAGGCAACAGATCTTCATCCCTTTAAGTTGTTTTGTTTAGAAATAAAACGAGTAATAGAAGGAAAAAATGACCTGCACAGTCCTTTTCTTCTGCATATGAAAATAAAAAGGCCTACTAATTTGAAGAGCTAGTAGTGCCACAAGGCCTCATAAAAACATCCTGCATTTCTTTCCCTTTCTAAATCAAGGATATTTGTATGAAGAGAGGATCTTTATTTCTGGAAAACAAAAAGCACAGCTGTGTATTTTTTGCTGTTTACAGGACTGTGTTTAGCCGATGTGTCAAAATCCATTAACTTATTTGTCATAATTTGAGATAGCACTTCACTGCAGCCCTTGCCCTGACTTTTGCCCACATACGGTTAATAGTGCACTGATGCTCTGTTTGTGCTGAGGCACCAGGCTGTGCTGTTTGGTGGGGCAGAGCTGCTGCCATAATCGTGAGGGGCATGGAGTGGGCTGCATTTTGCATGCAGCTGGGCTGCATGAGGCCCATGAATTGTGGGTTGGACACACTTCCCTTACACTTTTTCCTGGCCATGTCCTGACAGATCCTTTTTAAACAGGCTTGAGACAGATGATTCTTTGATTTGATGTAAGATGGCTGTTCTTACACACTGTCTGTATAATACATCCATTCTCTGTTAGCTCTTTTATGTTTCTTCACATAAGTGAAAACTAAGCTTATTGAAGAGCAATTTTGTTGATATCTGACATACTCAATAAACTAAGCAATATTTCACAAGCCTGGAACACCACTTGTTTGATTCACACTGACATTAGTTATAAGTATAATAGATTACATTAATACTAGGGGTAATATTCTAAAGCTATTTCTTCAAGATGACAATAACAATGTTTAGATAAAGAGTTTCTCAACTCCTTCAGAATACTACTGCAGACAGAAAAGAATTATGATGACACTGACAAAGCATATAGAATAATAAATAACATTAAGGAAAATGATTAATTCTTGAGTAATATTTTTTCTTAGATGAAGTTTTCTGTTACAGACTACAGTTTAAATCTTCAGTCAGATCTCCAGAAAGGCATCCTCATTGTCCAAAGTAGCTCTTCTCTAAAATAGTCACAAAGAGGCTTGAAGATTTTTGGTGCATTTTCAATACTTCAGCTTACTTACATGCTTGCTAACATTAGTTAGCAGGTGCTAATGTAAAATGTCCACGGACTAAGAAGGTGCAAGAATTCCCACTACAAATTACTAGAAAAATTGTTGCATTTCACTTATTTTCTTTCAAATTTAACTGATTTCTAGTTCCTTTCTAGGAAAAAGAATGACTCTAGTTTATCAATATTTAGGCACTTCGGATATCTACCATATGCCCTATTCTTAATTTTTTTTCAAATTATATCCTTCTGCTTGCACTGTATTCCTCCATTTTCAAATTGTTAAATAACAGCTGATGAGTCTCATATGCAAAAGCTGATTCAAATGCATTATGTTCAGCTGGCACTGCTGTATGTGAGGGTATCACTGACTGCTCTGAAAGCCAAACCTTTCCATATCTTGCAATAAGAATTGTTATCATCCAGCAAGCAGTAAACATTCTAGAGATGACTAAGCCACTGGCCCCCTTTGTGATGTTTTAATGATATAAACCAAACACTGTCACCAATAATAAAGACTCATGGTATCAGGTTACTACAACAGTGATGCAATTATTAAATTGCTCACTGTAACAGGCAAAATAAGCAAAGCAGAGTTGAGATAAATAAGCTTAAACGTGTCATAATGAGGAGCAGCAGCTGGAAGAACTAGATTTATCCTGGTAATTAATTTAGACAAAGTGATCAGGCAGTAATAAAAGGCCACAGGGAGACAGAACTTCACATCATAAAAATGTATTATCATTAAGTATCGGGTATCAGATATTGCAGGTGTCTTAAAATACCACACCTTCCACAGAAACATTTTTGAAGTAATGTACCGAGCAAACTGTAAAAGAAGGAACAGTGTAATTAATCACTTGGAAAACGCTTACGTCAATTCCAAACAGGTACAAGAATACCCTTCAGATTTCTTTCCATTGTTCTACTTGAGCTAAAGGCTCCCACAACAATGCACAGGTCAACCTCATTAATGAAAGATCCTAGCAACATTCATTAACATAAAGCAGCGCTTAGTTTCAGGGATTTACTGGTACTTCTAATACTCTTCATAAATTGTTATATATCCTTTTCAATTCTGATCCTGTTAAATTCACTGGGAGCCTTTCTACAGGCTGCCTTAAGCCTGATTGAGATGCACAGACTCCACAATAAAGGAATTCAAGTGAAAGCAGCATAAGTAAAAGGCTTTGTGCTGCAAATATATGAAAGATATAAAAACCAAAACAAGCTAAACACGGGTATAAGTTTTGTCCTGCAAACTGAGGAAAATGAAAGACATTTTGCAAAAAAAAAAAAAAAAAAAAAAAAAAAAAGGCAAAACCCCCCCTGTTCTTCCCAGCTGAAAATCCAGCTCTGTGGGAACAGTTTAATTTTCATGGGTCATTTTGTAACAGTTCCCCAGCTAAGAACAGTAGTTGGTCAGCACATTAGAACAATGTTACCTACTATAAGGGTGCAGGTCCCACTGCGGCTACATCTGCAACTTCCCCAGCTTGAGGAAATTATCAAGACCTACTGGAACAGTTACATATTTGCTATTATCACTCAAATTTGCTCAAGTGAGTCTTTTCCAACACCAGTTATATTAGTGCTTTTGATCTTTGTGAAACATGAAAGGAAAGCAACAACACTGCTCATTTACTGTTACAGGTAGTGCTTCTAATGTATTAATGTGCTATAAAAAAAAAATACTTATCCAATGGCACCTTTCACATATACCATTAAAAGCACATTCACTTGCAGATGTTATCTAACTGATCCAAATTCAGATCTGTTGCCAGGTATTAAGAAATCATCACTTCCAATCATTGACTAAAAACGATTTCAAAGTTTCATATGAGCATTTCTGCCTTTCTGTACTTGCAAGAAAAATTACATACATCTACCAGTAACACCATAGATCCATGTTTAAGAAAGAAAATTCAGTAAGCATACCAGATTATCTTACAAATGTTGATAAACTATCAACTAAGTAAAGGAAGAGAATTAGAATAAATACTGCTGGAAAGAGATCTCTCTCCACCATCCTTTTGATGATTCCATCCCCATTAAACTTACAGTGAACTGAACGCACAGTGAAACAGACGAAAGTATTTCTTTGTACTTATTTACCAGGAGTCAAATTAATCAAGATTTGAAGAGCCTCAACTCTGACAAAAACTTTTACATATTCTACTTGAAATTTCTACTCAATCAAATCTGAAGCCATCTACCAAAAAAAAAAAAAAAAAAAAAAAAAAAAAAAAAGATGAGTTCATTTCGCAAGGCAAAAATTTATCAAAGATCATAAATATCAATATGCAATATGTCACTAAACTGAGGCCAGAATAACATTTAAACACCACACTCATTGCAAACCTTAGAATGTGGAAGCCTGGTCTACTGCTGAACCATTAGATCACACCTGGGCACACTGGAGAACGCACAGGAGTTGCACTAATTCCATCATGCTAATTTAGTGCCTCTTGTATCTTAGACACAATAAAAAGCACCGATGAAAAGTAAAACTCATTCACTTCTTAGAGGTCTTTTCCACAAGCACATGTACCAAACCACCTAAACAGGCGGTTTCAGAATCTTCCATGGAGCCTTCCTCAGCTTATCCTCTCCATCAGTGATATCACATACTTCAAACAGTAGCAACGCAAGTGTCAGTACTTAAGTGGGTAGCAAGAAGCTGAGTATAAGATAACATAGTATGAAGTTTAAAGCACACTGGGTCATTTCATTTCAGTGGAGTACTTTCCTCTGACAATGCTGCCAGTGTCAAGCTTGTAATTATTTACTGATCATCTTTTAAGGTCTCTTATGGTCCTGCTACTTATCACAGTAACAGCACAATACAATCTAAAAGAATAGGGTGTGAGAAACTGAAAAAAATCCTCAACTTATATTTTTGGATCAGACTGCAATTTAAAGTAGAACTGACAATTCCTAGCAGCAGCAAGGCTGTCTAATCATTCCAGTAAAATTCATATTTCAGTACAAAAACTCCGTCAAACTGAAAACTGTTTGGAATGAAGTTTTTCATAACAGGGATCCATTTTATAAACAGGTATCTGACTCAGGCAGACTGCAGTTTCACCCATACTTGGGAATATACACTAGGTTTTACCTGCTCATAGAGTCCTTTGGCATTCCCTATTGATACTACTGGCAGGAATTTCGTAATTATGTAGTAGAAAGGGAAGGGGGGAGGGAACAAAAAAAAAAAAAAAAAAAAACACAGATCAAAAGGAAGCAAACCTCTTTTTTTTTTTTTTTTGCATC